CAATCCTGGGTGATGGATCTGCGGTGTCCTGGTGAAGGCCGACACATGGGTGTCGGCTACTGTGGTCAAGCCCAGGCAAAAAAGAAGTATGACTGGTCTGTTCAGCGTGCAAAAACCAAGACGCTTGGTAAATCGTACCCCGAGTCTTCTGTGATCTTTACACAACTTAGAAGCCAAGGCACGTAACAAAATCAAACCCCCCCCCCCCCCCCNNACAAAAGAAAACCCAGCAACCACCCCCCCGAGTTTTCGATTTTTCTTGCACAATATCACGGCCGCTTTTCGCCTGCCTTGGCGCAGGCTTCAAGAGATTGCCAGCGATGAGGAGCCCGGAGAGCCCACCAAGACCCCCCTCAGTCAGCAAAAGCATCCTCTCTAACATCAGCTTACGGACTGCGTCGAGTGCCTTTCTGCCCCAGGTCCACTTCGCACTCTTGATCTCGAAATCGTAGGTTGTGGAGTCAGCACGACCTGTCCACATGAGAAGGTGAGCTCCAGACGCCAATGCACGAAAGCCTCCGTGTGCAACGTCTTGCAGGAGTGGCCAAAGCTCTGTCACACTCTCCGCCAACCGCTGCCCATCTCCTTCCGCTTCACGGCACAGGTGCCGCTCAGCTTAGCTGTGGATGGTCGGCTTCCAATGACTGCAATGCTGCAACTCCAGGCATGGTCGGGCATTGTGCCTTGAAGTCGTTGGTTAAGGTCCAACGTCGCAGAAGCGGAGTTTCGCGAGTTCTTGGAGGCGAGGGCAGTGGCAGGCCGCAGGAAGAGGAACTTTGCATGAGAGTTGCTGGCACCGGCAGGAGCTGAAAAACGGCTGTCACACGGCTCGGGGGCGATTTGTGCCAGCACCGCACATCTTTGACTTTGCCAAGGCTCATAACATTGAGTGAGAGAGAGAGAGAGAGAGAGAGAAGAAAGGCAATTGGCATTTCTGCAGGTTCAGCTTGGAGTGGAGGGTGGATGGGCATCTGGAGCTTCATGGCTTTAGATGTTCCCTTTGCGCAGGTAGTGTCGCTGGGCTGTGACGACCGGACTTTAAAGCAGGACCACGTCCAAGTGCACCCCGACATCCAAAAGCCACCCAGCCCAAGCCGAAGCGGCCGAAGCGGGAAGGAGCAGCGAGAGGCGCCCGACGCGCCTTTGGCGAGACTCGGCCGCTGGTTGAGTCGCCGGGCACCTGAGGGCCTGGTCTCGAGGCTGAACGTTCAAAGAGCGTTGCAGGAAAGCCTACTGTGGTTTGTCCATAAACTAAATAGATTGATACTCCACCAGTCTTCTCAGCCGGTGAATACTTTGGTGCTCTGTCGCGATGCCTGAACCCTGGATTGTACTTTTGACGGAGAAGATGACGTAGGGTGCAATTGAGACTTGTAAGGCCAGCGTCCAGGAGTCCGGCATAGAAACTGGGGGCTTTGAACTTATTTTCCAGATTGCGACTCATACACCTCTGTAAGCTCGCGGAATAATACTGTTGCACTCCTTTGCCATTCGGGAGGCAGGAAGTCGTCTCTGCCGTGCCCGTGGCTCTCTTGGGAGTAGACTCCTCGACGCACGAAGTCGTCACTAATTTCTCCGAAGGCAGGCATTTCTGCAAAGGGGCACGGTGAATCGTGAGATTGTGCCGGTTAAGTCTTTGAAGAACCGGGAGATGCATCCATCTACTCACTCCAGAGAAGGCATGGTTCTAGATGTTGCAATGAACGGTTCGCCGATGCTGGCTGTAACCAGAGTCCTGCACTCAGCAGAGGGGCATCAGAGTTGGTGTCCACCACACAGGTTGTCATGCCTCCCGTTCAAAGCAGGCATGCAAGCGGAAAGCTCCGGATGATTCCTTTTTTTGCCCAAGGAGCCCGGACATGCTGTGCTGGACGTTTGCGCGGCTCCGGGGTCGAAGACGCTGCAGGCGCGTCGGACTTTCTTCACCTCAAAGCAGCTTTGTGCAACCTCCCGTAGAGTCATGTTGACGTAGTTGGACACAGAGACCTCGTCTGGCGGAGTCCGAGTTGCGAGAGCGTAAAGAAGCTTTGTGGGACAGAGTTGGAGGCAATCTGTGCCAGAGGTCCACTCGAAACTTTGTGTACATCAACTGGAAGCCAGCTGCAAACATCCTTCTGCTGTACTGTAGACCTCGAAGGCGGCTCACCATCTGATGCGAAGTGTAAGCTCAAGCTCAGCAGCTGGAGGCCATTGAGAAGGTGTGCCCTGCTGGTGACGACACCGCGGGTGCAGTGATTGCCAACGTCCCTCGTGCAGCAGAAGGGCTCCTGAGGTGTCAAGTTCGTGAAGTACCTTAACTTTCATGGCCTATTGTTTTGAAGGGGCCCTGGTATAAAGTCAATGCAATATCTATCCATATACCAAAGAACAAACAGACTAGAGGGCTCAATGCTAGGGCCTGAAAACAGAGAGGCAGGAACTGCCGGCACATAAGACCTGCAAGAGAGCAGACTACGAGCCTCTGTACGAGTTCGAAAAGACTTTTAAAAGAGGCTCTGGCAGGTTCAGGTATCTTGCGTGCAGGTCATTGCAGTGTGGCAGCAGCTGAGCTTTCTTGCAACGAAGCGCAGAAGTCTCTCTAGACTTCCAGGCTTCGAAGAATCTATTTAGTATTGGGTAGATGGAACCCCGTACTACGCAGGACAGTGCAGAGCTTTGTCGGTATGACAGCTGTTGCTCCAACTCTGCAGGGCCTTGCTGTAGTCCCGAAATCTCGTGCAACATCGGGCATGCTTCTGGGGTCGAAGGGACGGACAGAGAAGGCATGTGCCCGTCTAAGGAGCTGAGTGCGATGCGCGCACGAGTTCTTGCGAGGAGGCTCTTCACGGTTCGAGCTTGCCTTGAGGGGTCAGCCATTGCGAAGTGACACAATAGAGTCGTCTCCGGGCTTGCATTCCAGAAATTGGAATCATGGCAAGCTTAGCAGGTCTGGTGGTTGTCGCGACGTGTGGATGTTAATCGCCGGGTGCGCAGAAAATCGTCACCGAAGCTTTGGCCCTAAGTGTAGGTGTGCCCTCCTTGGTGCAGCCGCGGGTGCCGTGGCGGTGGTGCAGCACAAGGCGCAGGTCTTCCCAGGCCTGCGAAGCATCCCTCACGAGCCAAGTTTCCTGAAGCAGTGAAGCGGAGGGGTTGGACCTAAACCTGGCAGTTCCATCGCAATCGGGTGGCCGAAGCCAGGCCAGGCAATGTAGGTGTCGTCACAGTGACATCCCCAAGCACAGGTCCTGGTCTCTTCGATCGTATCATTTGCGATGTGCCCTGCAGCGGGGATGGTACCATGCGAAAACATCCTGAAAAGTGGCGGTCCTGGAGTGGCTTGAAAGCACCGGGACACGACATGGCCTGGTTTTTATTCTAGGCTACGGATTGGGCTGAAGAGTGGCGAGGGGCATGCACCATCTCGAATGAAACCTGTCGACATAAAGCGATATGGGCGGTGTCTTGTTGCAGAAAGTCCAAGCCACTTCCCTCTCCATTTTGTTCCGGCACAGTCGCAGATCCCCGAGCCCAGCGACCTTCGCTGGCTGAAGTCTTTGTCGTCAAACCCAACTCCCTAAGAACCTGCAAAACAGAGTCCCAGGCCCTCACCTTGGTCGGGAGCTCCATGCCCGGCAGCTCCAGATTGCTCTCCGCGGCCGCTGCGGCTGAAGTTTTTGGGGTTTCCTACATTCCTGGGCGCAGGGAGGCATTGGGAGATTCTGTTAATTAAACGGAGCCCAGTTAAAAAGCGAATCCTTATCAGAGGTCATAGGCACCTGGCAACAAGGGAGAGGCATGCCCTCCGCTGGGGACAGTTCAAAAGTGCTTGCCTCTTGCGATAGGGGATCAGTAATTAACTTATTCTGGAATCTCTTTCGTTGCTTTCGGACTCTAAACTCATAACTCCTCATCAGGACTGGCGCTCCTGCAGGTGGGCGGCCAGATGACGCCTCTTCGTATAATTCAGAATCGGAGGATGACCTCCCACGCACCTACAGGTGTGTGAAAGTGATGAAAACGATTTGCAGACGGCAGAATGCAGAAGCACGGTATGTGGCACCTCCAGCACCCTCAAAGGTACAGCACCTGCTCCTTCAACCCGCTGGAGAACGAGGCACAGGGCACAATGACTCCAGCCTCTGTCAGTCAGTGACCATTCTGCAGTGCCCCTCTGGCGCGACATGCATTGCACACACACTCACTCACTCACACCACACACCAACCAAATCAAGCACTTGCAGATCATGCATGTGGGCACGTGCAGGTAGATGTAGATGCGCGGCAAAAGCAAGTGATAGATTTTTTCTGGAGGCCGTGGTGGCCAGCCTCCTTTGTCGGACGGGCGGTGCCGTCGTTCTGAAGCGGCCGCCTGCGCTGGAAGGGTCCCTCAGCGAATTACCAGAACCAGAATTTTAGCGGAAGTGTTTCGCACGCTTTGTTTGCGGAAGGCAAATTGCTGTCCTTGTGACGGCTTACAGGGATGTTTTTACAGATAAGATGCCCTCCTCTGAACTCTCTCCGAAAACTGGTGGTTCGTCAGGTATAGAAAAGCCAAGACCACAGCACGTCCATGTGTGATGAGGGCTCCAATCTCTTCGTGTGAGGCACGAGCAAGATTAGATAGATAGATCTGCAGGAGCACGCTGCGTCTCCATCACATCTGCATTCTGCATAAAGCCGACATTTCGCCATATCTTCGTGTCTTTGCTATTGCCACATGCTTGCTGTCAGGAGTTGGCCCGTCGAAGCCCTGAAAACAAACCTGCTCTGCCTATCTGGCTGCGATTCTGGAAACATGTCGGAATCAGAAAGACCTTTCCGAGGTTGCCCGTGCGGCCAGGGCTGCAGCACTGGGAGGCAGTTAGTCGTTGCGCTTGCGATGGAAGCTGTGTTCCTGCCTTTTTTCGACCCATCTCTTGAGAGATCGCCCTCTTTCCTAACTCTCTACGTGTATCCCATAGGGGCCTTGGTCCCCTACGACGGTCCGTCGCCATAGAGCAATCTCAGAGCCTTTTAGGCGGAGAGGATACGGTCAGCATTTTCGCAAGCAGCTATGACGGAGGTCGTGGATGAAGCCGCCGGGCGGCTCGCCAGCTACCAGGACATCAAGCGTGACCAGGTGGCAGTTGGGGCAGGCAGGGCCTCTTCTTGTCCGATGTGATGCTGTGACTATATCCAGGCTCCGTTTTGATACTTCGATCGAACATGCGACACAATTCGTCACTTTTGAAGAAACACACAGGACACCCTAAAAGGGGTTCAGGTGAAGGCAAAAGGTGGTCCTCAAGACTGAGGGCTGCCGGCCTGTCTCCGCCGCCGGTACCGCTCTTCGATGTGGCCGCCGGTTGGCGTGAAGGAGCGGGGGACAGTGGGGGAAATATGGGGAAATGGGGAGGGGGGGAGATGAGATTCCCACCATCTTTCAGCAAAGCTTTGCAGGCCCAAGAGTCGGGCTCAAATATTTCAAGATGTCGGAGCCGGGAGCTGCTGCCTGTCGCAGCTATCTATGCCCACTCAATTCAAGAATCCGTGGTGGTTTTTGATGCTGTCTGAGTGCACGATCCGCACTTTAAACTCAAGCCCCCTTGAGAGGATCTGAAGCTGCAGCGCTGCTCCTTGCTCTGAAAGTGCATTCACCACCTGCGAACCTCTGACATGTTTGGAATTTAGGCTTGGTTGCACGGTGGAGAGGCACTTCGAGCCTGTGTGCCCGGCTTTGGCCTTTGAGGTGTGCGTTGCGTTCCGTTCCTTGCGAACACCGGCGGCTTCTTCGTGGCGCTTTTGGCCAAAGTGCGAGAATGGCCGTCTGTGCCTGCTACGCAGGTTGAGGCCTCTTCCATGGTTTGTTGAGTCCGCGGACTTCGATGGCTTGGGGGCTATATGTATGGCTCCTTGTCGGTCTTCCCTTTGCATGCCCCAAGCACGAGGCATGATGGAGGGAAATTCTGGAGCTCCAGCAGAGCCTCCTTACGTCCACAATGCGCAAATGTAGGGTTGTTGCAGGGTGCAGGTATGAGGAAACGAGGTGATGGAGGTCACAACAGGCTCAGCTGTCTTGTTCGAAGCTCCCCACCCCAGTGTCCCCCGGGTTTTTTTATGGTTGTGAATCGCAGATCTGAAACTCTGAAGCCCTAAAAATAAAAACCAGGAATGATGTCTAATTTGCGTGCATTTCAGCCTGTTAGAGGGCTTTGGCGAAGTGGTGTTTCTGCAGTAAGCCAACAATGCGGGTGCTCTATTTATTGTTGTATGTCATTTTTTGTAACCGTGTGGTTCTCTATATTGCGGGGCTATTCGGAGTAAGTTTCACCAGGGATGGTGCTGATTCTGAGGATCGGGTAGCAGTTTACCTCGCCCTATCTCCCCGGGGCCGTACTAGCTTGAATTGATTCAGCTTGATTCTAGGTCCCCCATATGTCTGTTTCCTTTACCCGCGACGACAGTTCGCGATCCACAAAGATGTAGGGCCTGAGATCCAGAACCAAACTGATGACTGCATGGATCTTAGGTGTTGGTGGGGGGAGGGGGGGTGGCGATTTCTTTAGCAGGTTGAGACTCTATGGGATGTGCTTGTCGCTGCGACCTCCACCGAGTATGTTGGTTTCACTTCAGTCACACCTCCAGCCATCTGCATCACCTGGAGTCTCCGAGTGTGAGCGCCGAAGAAGCCGGGGAAGCCTTCAGTGTCTGCAGGTGGGCGAGAGCCACATTGCCAAACCTCTGCAGCTGTCGAAGGTCTTGCCTGAGGCCAGACAAAACCGAAGCCAAAGAGATGCCACAAGTGGGCCAGAATGCTTTCAAGACCTCAATCAGAAGCCCACTTACTTTGAAACGGCAATCTTGCGCGTAGCCTGCAAAGAAACAGTGATAAAAACTTCTGAAAGACTGCAAATTACAGTGTTTCGGCCATAATTCAGAACCGCTCCTCGTCATCTTAGTTGGAGATCTCCATGTTCGGGTAGAGTGGGTCCCTATTGCACCTACGCTTACCGTGCCTGTTAATGTTACTCTTACTGTCACCCGTACGAATATACTGGCAGCGGTTCATCAGCATCATCCATCACCGTCCTGTTCATAGCATGATCATGGCGATGACAATGTCGACTACTACCGACTATTATCATGGTTTTTTGCTTATTATATTACTATGGTTATTAGTATTAATGCTGCGATTATTCCGGCTATCCTTTGTATATTTTCGATGAGCATTTGAAGTACGATGATTCTTACGTGTTGCCATCACTGGTACTGTTACCTGTTGCAAGGAAACAAGACCCCCCCCAAAAAAAAAAAAAAGTCAACGCCCGACAGTGATGCGGCACTGGTTGGACAGCAGAACCACCTCCTTTGATGTGTTGATTCCCTACTTGGTTTTGTTTGGATCCAAAAGTTGGTAATCTTGACTATACCCTCCAGCAGATGATATTTTGTGTTGTCTTGATCCCTAATTTGATTTGCTTTTGATGCCAGACATTTGGCTTGTTTTTGATCCCTGTTTGATTTTTGATCCCTCGCCGAAGAAACACATCCGTTCCCTTCTGTTAAAGCTGGAGGCGCTGGCCCACAGCACGGGGGTGCCATCTCTGGAAAACGGCTTCCTTCTTTCGAGAGGGAGACGGACGCCTGCTCCCTGAAGATTTGGGGCTTAGGGGTTTGAGGAGGGTGTGGGGTTTAGGGATGTTTAGGGAGCAAGATGGGCTAACGTTTAGACCATGTTGGCCGAGCACTTGCTGCGTGCAAGTAGAGGCTCCAGAGAATGTCGAAGTGTCGAACCCCTCCGTCTTAGGCTTAGTTGCCGGCATACGACGGCCGTTCTTTGTAGCTCCCAGCTACCTTGCATGGTTTTGCATGTGCAAAAGACCTCTGATCCCACCAGGAAGCTCTTCTACTGCAGTCCCGGATTGGACGGGATTCTCCGAGCGTCCAGGTGCCGCTGCTCAGACGTGGCTTTGTGGGGGTTGGATTCCAATCGATGGACCCGGGTGTTGCTTGTTCACTAACATGAAAGAATGAGAATTGTCAGTGTTGGAACCGTGTAACCTCCGATTGTTTGAGCCTCATTGCGCTTGGAGCATACCCTTCTGAATCTTCAAGAGGCTGTCTTTCCTTCTTGAAACCCTGTCAGGCGCAAAGCTTTGTCTCTGGTCGCTGCCGGCACGTGTATGGCTCTGGCGCGGGATAGTGGATGGCAGCTGACCCCTTCAGGTGCGGAGCGGGCTCTCTGCTGGAGCAGGTTTGTTCTTTGAGCCCCAAGCTGCCCATCTCTTCGGCCGCTGCTTGAATGAAACTGCAAGAAACCACGCTGCAGACCGAAGGCCTGGACATCTTCAACCGGATGTCTGGGCGCAAGGCAGAGGCCAATGCTCGCGCCGCGCAGAAACACTTCGAGTCCCACCGGTGCCTTGGCGAGAATAAGCTTACGCTTATGACTCAGTAGGCAAGCTGATAATGACTCCTAGTGGTTTGGGCATACACAAGCCGAGCCTCATAGTCAAATACCAACGTATGCGGGGTGCTGGCTTCCTGTGTGCTTCAGTCTCCGGCGTAGTTTCCGCCATAAGCCTCCGGCCTGGCCAAGTCTACGGAGTAGGCTTTGATGCCAGGAGAGCAGGCTCAGGAGCTTTTTCCAGCAGTAGCTTTCCGTGTTTTTGTAGACTCTTTTCACGATTTTGCAACGTTCCCGGCTCTGGACACGCGCAAACATCTTCATGAGCAAGTTTACTCTGGGACAAAGACAAAGGATCTGTGTGACATGTATATAGTGCGAGTGGCAGGTGCAATGGAGCAACTGTTGAAAAAAGCTTAATCACCCAACCTTCAGACGACTTCAGGTGCACGACGTGCGATGCGCTGCGGCCGGCCAGTGCCTTCTCTAGGCCCGGGTGAGCTGCATGAGTCTTGTCGAAAAAGGGGCTTTCGCTTCCGCAGTCAGGGAGACATTTCCGAGGGCTCGTTTTGTATGCCGGGCGCATTCGGTTCAGCCTCGATCCTCCGAGCATCTTCACCCTGTCAGGAAGATGCTGACTCGTCCGCCCAGTAAGCGCAAGTGCAGTGCCTGCGTGGAAAATGCCCACCAGCTTTCGGGACCAGTTAGCTTGAATACTTGAATACGAGGCTAGGATAGCATGAGAGCTGGCTCGCACATGGCTCGTGTTGGATGGGGGCAGGGTCGTGATTCTTCGTGAGGGTTGTATGCTTTTGAGGCAGGGAGAGCACTTTGCTTGGACACGGTGCTGTGCTACAGCCAATCTGGAGAACAGGTTCTAGGATTCTGGATCCCGGCTGCGCGTCCCAATCTTCCCAGGTCCCCTGCGAAGCAACCTGACATGGCGGGTGCCCGGGCCCCGGGAGAGCTGAGGGAGGAGGCAAGTTGCTTGCAGGACCTTCCTTCGTCCTGTACTTGTTTGTCAGGGCAAAACGGAAGGCTAAGGGCCCTTCCGCAAAGGGTCATTCGTGCAGAAGTTCAGTAGAACCCAATCCATCATTGAAGTGTTTCGATGGATTCCCACCCAGGCCGGTGACTACCCTGTCGAAGGAGAGTCCGGACCTCAAGCGCCCTTTCTGTGATCACTCCGCGCCCTCCTGATGTGAAGCAGGCTCCTTCTTGGCTGCGGCTACGGGATATCTAAGGAACTCTTCTCCGCTTTTTGTGGCCTTCCACATCCGGAGATAGAATCCTCGGATTGTGTCAACAGAACCCTCGGCGCCGGAGATCCTTGCACACATCCTCGGCTGAGGATCGAGACCCCTCAGTCCAGTCGCTCACCGCACTCGGCTCCCCGAGCGGCGCGCCTGGCAGGGTGTTTGGGAGTTTCGATTTTGCGCGCTGCGTTGCGCCTGCTTGCCCTCCAGGGCACTTGGGGGAAGCACTGACTGCCCTTACCCTCTTGAAGCTCTGAAGGTCATGTAGCAGCGGATGTTCCAGATCAGTGGCTTGTGACCGGTCGAAGTGCGTCCCTTGTCCATGCTCGCCGGTTTGCTGCGCAGGCTCAAGACAACCCAACTTGAGCTGTGGGCAAGCTCGCCCCTTCCATATATCTCTCTCCTAAGCCTAAACGTTCCATCCGAAAGCACTACACGACAACCTGCCCCGATTACTTTGCCTGGATCCTGTAGATGCGACGATGGATACGTTGCACCCGAATTCTATCCCTGAATCCTTTTGTGGCCGCTCAAAGGCACACACCATGCGGAGCCTTCTCGGCCTTCTCTTCCTCTGCGCCGTGCCAGCAGAGGATGTCCCTTCCTGCGCTGCCACGGCTGACCTTCGTGAGGGTCCAAGTGCCTATGGAGATGCATCAGGCGCGGAACAGCAGCTGTGCAGTCGAGGCATAGATCAGCACGGAAAGCTCACGCCCCGAAGCCTGAACAGTTCCACTTTCGCCATTCGCGCTTCTTGGAGGAAGCTGCAAAAAGTCCAGATCACTAGCAGAGGAGGCTGGCCAGGAGACTGGCGTCTCCATGATGCAGCACAGAGCACTGGATCGACGACACAGGACAAAGAAGCCCTGGGAGACTTAGCCGTGAAGATGACGATGGCTCATTTCAGATCGTAAACACCTTCGCCCTTCAATGCATCTCTGCCCCGGAGTGTGGAAAGAGGAGCTGTAGCTCAGAGCATGGTGAGACTCAGGAATCCTTGAAGTTTACGGCAGTGGCATACCACAAGTCGGGCGTCTTCCTGATGCAGGACTTGCAGAGGTCGCCAAAGCACCAGCTTTGTCTTCTCTTGCCATGTGACTGTGGCCTTGCAAGGAGTTGCAGAGGATGATCTTCGACAAGTTGAACGCTTCCGATGAAGTGTACGGCCTTTGGCAGCAGCCGTGCTTCAACGAGACCCTGGATTGCACGGAGCTAAACACTTTCTGTGCTCGGACACATCTGGTCTCCAATCCAGGAACAGCTTACCTCTAGCAATTTGCACCGGAAATGCAGCGGCATCTAAGGATCATCTACAACGAGAACTGGTGCAGGCTTTGTGACCTGCCGGGCAAACAAACTCCAAGCTGATTGTATTGGAAACCTCTGGGCCCTAGGCTGCAAAGCTGCAGCCAATTCCAGCAGGAGACAAATAGGAGACCTTGTTGAACACGACTGAACAATCACACCTGGGCCTTCTGATAATTGATACTGATGCAGGCACCAGACGGCGCCAATCCGAACCTTGGTGGATATCTATGGCCCAGACATGGAGCAGCGCCGTGGCAGCATTGTTCTTGCATGCAGGCCCTCATGACATGGTCGCTTGTTCCAAGCCGTCGCCACAGGAACGAGCGCCAGGATGCCAAGCCGAATGGAATGCGAGTTGCGGGCTCGGTTCGTCGCTGGCCTCATTTAGTTGATGTTGCGTTGCCTTGCCTTGGAGAGCGACAGTACAAATCGCTGTTGGTCCGAGCAATTTGGAGACTCTCATGGACCTCAACCCTGGCCTTTCCGTCTTCCTAGGAGACCCCCTGGCCATGATCGCCTCTGCATATTGCTACCACCATCGAGGGGAGGCTTCGTGGGCAGGGCTGTCTAAGATTGTCTTTCTTCACCAATCTCCAGTTGAAAGCTCCAAAGCTTCCTGAGCTTTGGCCTGGCGCCGTCGCTTTTTCAGCAGGGTCTTTCTTCCTCCCCGAAGGGTCCGTGTCGCCAGGAGCTGGGCTACACCACCTTGTGGCCGCCGGGCGTGATCATGACCATGGGCCCGGAGGATGCTGGGCTCAGTTGGAGCTGAGACGTTTTTTTTTAGGACAGGCTGGGTGTCCTTGGTTGGTTCCTATTCTGCTCCTGGCGGAGGTCTCGTACCCCACATTGAACACCCTTTAAGGGCAAATGATCCTAAACCACAGACATCGCCCAGCAGCAGTCCCGATCCGAGCCGAAATCAAGGATGGTGTGAAGTTTGCGGCAGCAGCTCGGCAAGCCATTGGGGACTCCATTCCTGTTGAGCGCCAAACGATGTACCGGTGGTGGGGCGCCTAAGTCTGGGACTCCTCTCCCGGCTCCGAGGAGAGAATGCTCCCGACGGTGCGCAACATGACCGCCATCTTTGCAAACCCTGCCCAGGAAACTGCTTTGGATCAATCTAGGCCCTTAATGGGGTGTTCTGAGGTTGTAGGGCTCAGACACAAGGCCAGCCGCTATCTCAAAAGAAACCCTCGGCACCTGTCAGAGCGTGGACCAACCAAGCAGGATACCATCCGCTTGTCCTTCGAGAACTTCTCAGCCTCCAGTGACAGCTTCGATCTCGAGGTGGCTCGCTTAGTGCACCTCGGCCAGCACAGCGTCTTTGCGGATTCTGCAACTTGAACGGGTTTCATGACAAAGGGAGTGGAAAACGCAGGATGGTAGGTCCCCGCTTCAGGGATTTCTGGCTTCATGACCTCATCGACGACAACGAGCGCGACCTGATCCTCGAGAACTGCAAGCAGGCCGTCGGCGCCTGGGGATCCTTTATACAGTCGCTATCTTCAGATTCGGCCAGGCAGATCTCCATCGAAATCGCGACGTGCTTTCCCAGCAGCCGGGACAGATTAGCAGGGTACGGATCGAGCTCGAGGGAAGTTTCAGAAGCCTCGCGGCGAAGTTTCTCACTTTGGGGAGGTTAGACCGTGGAACTCAGCACCTCGCATGCTGGTGGTGTAGGATGTAGGCACGTAGTACATGTGAAGTCCGGAACATCACAGAAACCGCTCCTGTCGTCATGATGCGAGCTCCGTCGTTGTTGAGGATGCCACTGCACTTGGGTATGCTGCAGCTGCAAGAATGATATACCTTCCGCGGCGTTGAATTCATTCTACTCTGCGCTGTTACAAGATGTCGACAGCATGGCCCGCATCCTTTGCCTGCCATTGCGAAGCTTCGCAAAACTGCGCACCAAAAAGCACTTACTTGAACCAAGCACTGGAAATGTGCGATGGAGGGAGGGGAGGCATGAAACTTTGCTACCTTATCCAACAGCAGAAGCTAGGCACACCTTAAAGGCACTCTGACAAGTCGAGCCCCCAAGTCCCCAAAATCCGGAAGAAGGACCTGAGGGATCTTCACCTTTGCATCTTCGGCCTTCCCCTCCCGTGCATTGCAGATTGGCGTGGATTTATGTTAAGGCACCATGATGTCGCGACACATAGCAACGACAAGGAGTGTGAGGCCGGTGCTTTTTCACTCCTTACGGCACGTCGGGAGCTTGTCGAGCTTTTCGTTTCACATCTCCGGAGTCAGAAGCAGCTAGGTGGCTTGGGGTGGTTCTGGCCCACACTTGTAGGTCCAGCGCGGTCGGCAACCTGTGAGAATTCTGATGTTGCAGCAACGTGATAGAGCAACAGGAAACAACATGAGCGATCACTGGCAATCGCTGGTGCGAAAGCCTGGATGTATGAGCCTTTCTGTTTTGGATCCCCCTGGAGCTGATTGAAGCCTTGAACCCGCCAAGCGCTGAACCGGAAGCCGGCACGCGAGGCCAAAGCCATGGAAGCAACCAAGAAGCTGCCAAAAGACCTCCTCCAGCAGTGCCTCAGCTGGCTTCCGCCTGGAATTTGAGGGCATTGAGGGCATCCCAAGCATGACAGAGAGAGGGAGATATTTCAGTGACAGGGTGTTGGTGGGGCGTGGTTTAGGATTCCACAATACCGAAGCCTCTACAAGCTCACAGCCTCAGCATGCCCAAAAGCACCAGCCTGCGAGTCCAGAAGCACCAGCGAAGCCCTCGGAGCCTTGCTCTTGAGCCCTCAGGTACCGGACGTTTCAAACTCAGCTCGGATACCCCACGGACAGCTAAGATGATCAGAGCACTCCGTCTGCAGAGCTTCCACGGCTCACCTGGAGGTGTTTTACTCGCAGGGTCAATAATGGTGCAGGATTTGACATGCAAACAGTCAGGGCCAGGCAGTTGGAGACATTGTCTTTCGGCGCTGTCTAAGATCTGTAGTGCCTGTTTGCTTGTTCGCGCTCTGGGCATGTTGTGTTGCTTGGACATATCCTGACAGTCTCCCCACACCGACATGGAGAATGACATGTCTCCTTACTGAAAGACTTTCCTGGTGAGGTTTCTGACGGATGTGTTGATGAAGACCCCAACTCTCAACTCAAAATCCCCTAGCCTGAGCCTTAAGCTTAGACCTTTGGAAGAAGACTTTCGCTCGAATCGGAGGTGCAACCGGAGCTGCCAACGGGTACGACAGCACGAAAAAAGCGCCCTTTGTGCCTTGTGTTTGGGTAAGCCCGTAGGTGACCTCTTAAGTAAAGTCGGAGCCGCTTTGTCCAACAACTGCCAGGTCGCGGCAGGTCTGCAGCTCGAGGGCAAAATGGGCCTTTGATGGCCTTTGAGCTCTTTGAGCTAGGACCCCTCTAGCTAATTCAAGCACTCGATGTTCCCGGTTGTCAGTGTTGATGTGCAGACACAACCACTCCACAAGTGAGCTTTTCATCCGTCAGGCAAGTAGTAGGCATGCTGCTCTTTGCAAATGTCTGGCCCTGTTTTTCACTGTGTGGCTACCAAGTCGGGATCGAGATTGGCAGGATCCTTGGATGCTCGCCGGGCTTTCCCTTGCTGGGACGAGCCTGCCCGCAAGGCGGGCCGGCTATTCACCTTCAACAGACACCGGGATCCTTAGTAGTAGAGTCGGTCGGTACGATAATGCTTATGTTGCAGGGTTTAGGGTCATGTGTTCCACAGCTTAGCTATGCTTTTGACTTGTAAAGGATTTAGGGCATTGTATGCTTGTAGGGTTTTCATTCATGGACACGCAGGCAGTAAAGGTTAAGCTTTTGGCTTAAAACCCTTTCACCTGCATCTTAAGCCTTACAGTTCAATCAGGCGTAACCCTACAGCGCTAAACCCTATTCGTAGATGGTGAAGACGTTCTGAGCAAGAACCTTCTAATTATAAA